TATTTATATATATATATATATATATATATATATATATATATATATATATATATATATATATATATATATATATATATATATATATATATAAATTGTATATTATAAAACTATTTTACAAAAATAATAAACTAAAATCTATAATATTATTTATTTATAAAAAAAAATTGTTATGAACAAATTTAAAAGCATTTAAAAACAGATTATTAAAGAACTAAAAAATATGTTATTTACATATGTCATAGACATATATTCTATCATTTCAACAAGTTTATATATAATATAATGATAAATATTTTATCGAAAATTTCTAAAATATTATACATAAATCTAATCATCACTATTTTTATCATACAAACTTTTAAAAAAAAATACATAATTTGAACCAGCTGAACAACCCAATGTAAAATAACAAACAATTTATTTCATGTGTACCTTAGTAAATGGATTTGATGATAAACTTGAAAGCAAATCTGAATCCAGCAAGAAATTTGAATCTTGAAGTCTTGATTTTTGTTAAAATTTAGAGATTTGAGAGATTTTGAGGGGTTGGGAAAGAAAGAGAGAAAGTGTTTCAAAAAAGAGAAAGAAGAAGATGATTCTGAAAATAGGGTAAAGCTGAAGCGATGGTATTTATAACAACCTTGCAAGGTGAAAATCACCCTGCAACTTTTTAAACCGTTGGAACTTGCGAAGTGAAATTCACCTGGCAAAATCTGTGTCAAAAAAGTGTCCAAACAATCACCTGCCACCCTGACGCATCAGTGATAAACACCCCGCAAGTACATTATTTTGCGAGGTGATTATCACCTGGCATAATCGTCTGACTAATTTAGATTTCTTGTAGTGTGAAAATCATTTACCTATGTAAGAAAAACCAGAAAAGAAAAATGTACAGTATTATTTAGAACGAGGGATAAATATATAGCCAAAAAACATTAATATGAACAAATGTTAGAATATTTTTCTTAAGCTTGTCTTTATAGTTGTTGTTGAGTTTAAAATTTGTTTGATATCTTATATATAAAAGTTGTTAAGTTTTTTTTATCAATTTTGACATCAAAATTGATAATCTTATATGTATATAAATGTTAACTGATCTTGACGGCTGATCAGAATCCGAAGTGGGGCAGAGACTTTGTCGGTGATGTTGGGTTGGAAAGATGAGGAAAGGGTGTACATGCAAGGCACTCCGATGCTAAAGTAAGAATCGAAAGAAGATAAGGCAAGTACAAAAAGTGTATGTCTTAGGGTGATTTGGAATGATTTAGAATACCTGACTCTCTCAAGTGAGAGGATTTTTATAATACCTCCAGCGCTTGACCATTGATACATATTTTCAGAGCGAGATATTCGCTCTCAAAGAATAGGTAACTGCCAGAAACTAGCTGTTGGGACGGACAGATATGCTTGAAACTAGTCGTTGCCACGGGCAAAGGTGTGGTCGCGGGCACAGGCGTCGTGACTGTTTTTGCATGGTGAAACCGTGCGTGACGGGCAAGAATATGACGAGGGGCGGTTGATCCTGAGAGTCAGCTGGCCAACCTTCCTCGGTAGAGGGGCAGAGGAGAGAAAGCTTCAGTTCGCCCTTAACTAGCAAGGTTAAGGCTATTGGGTCGTTCTGAGTGCATAAGTGGATTGGGCATGCCTAGCCATTGGATCAGTCTAAAACATTAACTTTTTAAACAATTTTGGCATCAAAATTAAGAATGACTTCATAATTTTATATTTTTAACTTATATTTATTAATTTACTATTATTTATCTTATTATCTAGCCTTTTCTTTTTATTAATATTATCATTATTTGTTTTAATTATTTATTAAGCATAAGCATGTTTTTGAAACTTAGTTATCCATGACTTTATTGATTTTATTCTTATTTGTTTTAATATAATTTCTTTTTCTCTTCATTTTAATTTTTTGTTATATTTATTTTATTTTTTATTATTTATCTTATTAATTAATATTTTTCATTTTATTATTATTTATTGTAATTATTTATTAAGCAAAACCCACATTATTTTAAAAACTATTATCTTATATATAAAAGTTTTCTATTTCCATGTTTTTTTAAAAACTTAACTTCCCTCTTATATGTATAAAAGTTTTCATTTTATTATAAAACTTAGCTAATCTTTTTTATTAATTTTAGAGATTAATTATTATGCACTGTCAATGGATGTAAAAAAATTTATACGATCAATTAATCATCATCATCTATTTACATTATTTTATAATGGTTAAAATGAAAATCAAACTTCTCGCAACATCTAACGTTTATGATTAATTGACTGTGTAAAATCTTTTTACATTGTCAGTGCATTTTAATTAAATTATTAATTTTATTATGAGATTAATTAGAATATAATGTCGGTGTAAAATTATTTTACACTGTCATCCAATTAAAAATTAACAATTTTAACATATAAGTATGAAAGATGAGAGATAAATTGACAAGAATTAGTTATTAGAATAATTTAATTATAATATATTATTTTACTTTTAATTATTTGTTCTCTTCATTTTAATTTTTTGTTTTATTTATTTAATTTATTACTATTTATATTATTAATTTGTTTTTTTTTCTTTTTATTCTTTTCATTATTATTTTTTATTATTATTTATTAAGTATAGCCCACGTTTTTTAAAAACTACCCTAAAAGTTTTCCATTTCTTTGTATAGGAGAGTTTGAAGGTTATAATCTTAAGATAATCTTTCTATTGAGTTAGTTCAATTTGCAGACGATACGTTGATTGTTGGGTCGGGTAACTGGAAGAATCTTTGGTGTATCAAAGGGATCTTAAGGGGATTTGAGTTGGGAGTAAATTTTCAAAAAAGTAGATTGATCGGTATCAATGTGAGTGACCATTTCTTATTGGTAGCATCCAATTTCTTGGCTTGCAAAGTGGAGGCTTCAGCATTCAACTTTCTCAGTTTGCCTATTAGTTCTAACCTGAGACGTATTAAAATGTGGATAACTATTTTTGAGAAAGTTAAATCAAAGTTAGCATTATGGAGAGGAAAGTTTTTATCTTTTGGAGAAAGGATAACACCAATCGATTTTGTTTTGAGCAGCCTCCCCGTTTTTGTGTTCTCGTTTTACAGAGTTCTGGTGCATATCAGTAAAGAGATTCACAAATTGCGGTAGAGATTTTTTGGGGAGGAACGAAGGAGTCTTTGAAGATACATTGGATAAAATGGGAGATGGTATGCAAAGATAAAGAACTATGAGGTCTTTGTATTACAAGTTTGGATGAATTCAATCTAGCTTTGCTCACTAAAAGGAAATGGAGAATTCTTTTGGAAAAGGAAGATTTATGGAAGAAATTACTAGAAATGAGATACGTGGATTGTGAGGATTTAATGCTTTTGAAGGATCAGTGCAAAGCTTCTATCTCGGCTTCAACATGGTGGAAGGATTTGACTAAAATCGATGCGGTTACAGTTAACACGTGTTTCGATTTTGCAGGTAAAATATTCTATAAAATTGGAGATGGTAAACAAATTCTTTTTTAGTTGCGGAAATGATGCAGAGACTTTACTCTTGCTGAAGCTTTCCCAGAGTTATTCTCTTATACCTCAATGAAATTTTCATCTGTTTTTTACATGGGATAGTGGGTGGATTCATTTTGGAGGTGGGGAGAATGTGGGTTACAATGCTTGGATGATGATACATTAAGTAACAGGTGCAGTGAGTTCAAAAGGTTGTTGGAATATTTTTCTCCTGTTATAAATAGCAAGGATCAGTTGCTTTGGGGACCTGTTGTGTTTCTCTTAGCAGGAGCGGATCCTGGGAAGGCATCGGAAAAGGATAATGTTAATTATATCCTTTATGCATCAAGTTTTAGATACATAGATCTTATGGAGGCTAAAAATTCAGTTCTGTTGGAGTAAGACTTAAACCAAGCTTTCAACATCGTTTGGAAGACTTCGGTTCTGGATAATATTAGAGCTTTTGGTTGGAGATTATTTATGGACCGGTTGGCCACAAAAAAATAATTCATCAAGAGAGGTGTTAACTTTGCTCCAAACGAAGAAGCTTGTGTGGTTTGTCAAAGTTCTGAGAAGGATCTTAACCATTTATTTTTCGACTGTCCGATTCCGGATTAGTGCGGGATCAAATTGTTGATTGGATAGGTGTCAAGGTTTATGTTACAAATCCATCTTGGAAATTTTTCTTGAGTTGGAATTCTTATTTCAAAAGGTCGTCTAGTAAAGGTAAAATTGATATCGTTTGGTTGATGATAGTGTGGGGGTTGTGGAAATCAAGAAATGATATAATCTTCAATAAATCTAAGTCTTATTTGAAGAATATAGTTTAGTTCGTCAAGTATTTTGTTTGGAAATGGCCGATAATAGGAGAAATTTTGTATTCCAATGTTAACTACTTAGAGTTGTGTATGGGCCCTTTGTATTGCTTATCTTTGTAGTTGTTATTGGTGGGGAATCTTTCTTGGGTTTTTTGTTGTATCATTTTGGGTTTGAGCATCCCTAGTGTTCCCTTAATGAAATTTTCGTTTAAAAAAAAGTTACTCACATTTTTTTAAAACTTAACTACATATTTTTTAACTGATTTGATTCAATATAATGTAATCTCAAACACGTACTAAATATAACATGTGTTTTTTGCTAAGAGATTGTATACAAAAATTAAATGCATATGATTAATGTTTAATGTTTAATAACATAACTTTTCATGTATTTTATAAAGTTTTTAAATATTTTTTTCTTTTTGGTTGATGATAATTATTTCAATAATGTAATTTCTTAATTAAGCAGGTGGATTTCATTTTTTAACTTCAATCTCATTGTATTATTTTGATTACATAATTATTTTATTTAGGAATAAATCCTTAAAAGGAATTTGGTTTTATAAGTAATCATTATAGTTGTCAACTTATGTTTGATTGTGTCTTATAAAGAATCAAGATCGAATGAAATTGTGCAATGGGAGAAGGTAATTAGGTGGAGGTTCGTCATAGAAGAACTCATAGAGAGATTATGACCAAGAATTCGATTTGGACTACTAGAAGGGGAAAGGGGAATGGTGAAGGAGAAACTCTAACCTCTTTCTTCTTCACTGAGTTTCCGAAATTATACGAGGCCAAGGACATGGTGAAGGTGTTCAAGGAATATGGATTGGTGATGGAGGTTTTCATCCTGGCAACAAGAGACAAACAGGGTAAAAGATATGGCTTTGCCCGTTTTAGGAAGGTCTTGAACGAAAGAATCATGGCGGAGAAACTATATAGTATTCACATTTAAGGCTGAAAGATCCATGCAAACATACCCAGATTCAAGCGCAAGATCATGACGAACTACAAGTAAGATTCAACAGTGAAGGAAGCTGGAAACATACATGGAATATGAACAGATAATCGACCCTAGAAAACAAACAAGCCTGGGGTGTCATACGCTCAAGCGGTCGGGAGGAAACTCGATTCAGGTGATATGGTAAACCAAAAGAGGATAGGGTGTTGGCTAGTTACAAGAAGCGGATGCGAAAGGATTCAGAATGCACTAATTGAGGCAGGGTATTTCCATATTAAAGCCATTCCAATGGGAGCAAATCTCTGTCTTCTTGAAGAAACCGATATAGGAGACATTTGTGCACTGATAGATGGGGATAAAGCTTGGGTGTCACATTGGGTTCAGATATCCATCCATGGTCTCTAGAGGACATAGATAGTGAAAGGCTCACTTGGATGAGACGTTGTGGACTTCCCTGCCATGCATAGAACTTTTAATTCTTCAAATTCATATCGGGTATGGTGGGCTAGTTTGTTTGTTGTAACAAAGAAATAGAGAAGTTGTTAAAGATGGATGTGGCGCGTTTTTTGATCAAATAAAGTATTTATTGAATTTGAATGAGACCATCAATTTAGAGATCAATGATAGAATCTACAGGATCAAATTGGTTGAAGACATACATGGTCCCAAGTGCATTATGATGCCCAAAGCAGATTCACAAGTGAGTGACTCGGTGGATTTGATGGATGAAGGGGACGACGACGCGAGGGAATCAACTGAAGAGATGGAAGATGGTGAGCTCGGGGAGCACGGTCCTCGAGATGTGCCAAAATCAAATCTTGATGGTGATGTTTACCGTGTTCTGAGAAAAGAAGGTTTGGGGGATCATACCAAAAAGTTGAGAATATTGAATATTGGTGCAGACTTGGGGGAGGTTGACCTAGATATAGTTGACGTGTCTGGTGAAAAACGTTGTCTTAGAAATATTGAAATAGCCAAAACTACTATTTGCACGGGGGTGGGTGAAGGTTCATTAATTATGGACAATCATGATTTTCCTACGATGGGACTAGATCATGCTCCACAATTAAAAGGCACATTTATTCACATATATCAGAGTAAATTATTAAATTCAATAAAAGCCACCACAAAAGAGCGTACATTTCCCAATAAATCAAAAGGTCAAGGCTCCATAAACAACGGGTTTTCCCAACTAAACATCAAAAATTTTACAAAGGCAGCGGAACTCAAAGGCATAATCCAAGGTTTTCCTTATACGAAAAGATAATCAAAATAACTCAAATAAAACATAGTTTAACTCAAAGACCCCAACCCGATGTTACACTATCAGAGCAAGACCCTCTAAGTTAACCAAAAGGCTAACAATTCAAAAAAACTTCAAAAGTCCTCAACGGCGTCCACGAGTAAACCTGGTCAACTGCACGTTACCCACGAGGAGGCAACATTCAAACAGGCAGGGGGAGTAAAACGATTCATAATAATCAATGTATAAAATCAACATATAAAATGCCGTCATTTTCATATTCAACATCATCATATTCGTCAATATGCATCAAAGGCCACAACATCACAATTTACTCACAATCATCCCATAAATGCAAATGCAACAAGACTCAATGCATGTGGTACCAATCATCACAGCTCGATGGACACTGGGCCATCAATCCTCCATAGATCCCCATCAATAGGATCGATTCTACTAGAGAACTGGAGCACATAAAAACACTTCACATCCACACAATGGGATTGAAGTCAAAGTAATTGAGGTCCTGAACCGAAGTCCAGATGCACATGAATGCATGATGCACACGTCAATAATCATCCTCATAGTAACAGCATAGGTGCTTCATCATATTCATCATCATCACAATCATCATCATATCTCATGTCGTCATAGAATTCATCAAAATCATGGTAATATCATCATAATACATCATAGAAACCATCATGAAATCAGGTATACATCACATAAAAATCATAGTCATACTCATGTTAATTCGTCAAAGAAATCACAGAATCAAACATCAAGACATCGCTGCACACGATCAACATTCACGAAACTCTACTACGTTCGCTGGCATGTTCACTAGGCGAGTCTGGAGTGAGTTTCTTTGTTGTGCGAAGGATTCTTCGCTAGACGAGTCTGGGAACGAAATTGTTCACTGTGCGAAGCATTATTCGCTAGGCGAATAGCGCGATGACAGCAATACTCAGCTATGCACCAGAACCTAAAATCAATCAAAAAGCCCCACGATTCACTTCCCCAATGTCCCCAAAACATCTCTAAATCATCTTTAAGGTCTTACAGCGATAAAGGCACAAAACCTACGGTTTATTAGGCCAATCCCGTATCATATTCACGCCCTAAATCACAAATTTCTCTATAATTTCCCCAAAGGCATCAGAGTTACTCATTATCTAATATTCCTATCCCTTCAGGGTTAGACAAAGTCAAATCATAGTTTTTGACCACGAAGACCTAAGGTTCCTTTTTCCCTAATGAATTCCACGGTTAGATTCACAAATAATAGATTTAGATCACGAAGACCAAAAAACCATTTTCTCATAATCAGCCCCAAAATCCCTTAAACCTTAAATCGACCTTAAATACATTGAAATTTACACATAGAAAATCATGAAGGCAATACTCTCCATACCTTAATTGTCGACTCAAACCTTCTCAAATCTTTCAGGGAACCTTTCGAAACTTTTGCCTCCAATCTTCCTCCTCAGAGCTATGGCCTCAATTCTTTTCATGGTCTAACAAATGAATCCTAATCCATTCACAATTCCTTTTTGTTAAACCTAGTCTTGGACCTCACAATTGAGTTTTTTCCATATTACCCTCACTAACTTCTCTCTATTGTCCAATTTGCCCTTATTTCACTTATATTTATTTTAATTAATAATAATACTAATATATTCATATTATATACTATTAATTAAATAAATAACCCAAAAATGCATAATTCTCAATAACTCCACAAAACCACCAAAAATCACTGAAATGCGAATATTCTTATTTAAACAAATTAAATTAAATATTCCAATTAAAATTTGGGGTGTTACAACTCTCCCCCACTTAAAATAATTTTCGTCCTCGAAAATTACCTCAAGAAAACAGAGTCGGATACGACTCCCTCATCTGATCTTCACGTTCCCAAGCCCAACTTTCTCCAGTTGGTCCTCCCCAAACTACCTTCACTAAGGCAATCTCTTTACCTCGCAGCTGCTTCACTTCTCGTTCATCAATCCGAACAGGCAACGCCTCAACATTCAAATCATCTCTCACTTGTACATCATCCATCTGAATCACATGCGACGGATCTGGAATGTACTTCCTCAACTGAGACACATGAAACACATCATGCAAATTCGCAAGCGACGGCGGTAAAGCAATCCGATATGCTACTTCCCTCACCCTCTGCAAAATCTGATACGGACCAACAAAATGCGATGTGAGCTTTCGAGACTTCAAAGCTCGGCCAACACCAGTTACCGGCGTAACTCTTCAAAACACGTGATCTCCCTCTTGGAATTCAAGTGTTTTCCTCCTCTTATCATGGTAACTTTTCTGACGACTCTGTGACGCTTTCATCTTTTCTTGGATCATCTTGATCTTTTCGGCCGTCTCTTGCACAATCTCAGGTCCGAGTACAACACTCTCGCCTGACTCATACCAACACAAAGGAGTCCTACACCTCCTACCATACAAAGTTTCATACGGTGCCATTCCGATACTAGAATGGTAACTGTTATTGTAGGTAAACTCAATCAACGGAAAATGACTATCCCATGATCCATCTTGATCCAACATACAAGCCCTCAGAAAATTCTCTAAAGACTGAATAGTTCTCTCTGTCTGTCCATCCGTCTGCAGATGATAGACAGAACTCAACCTTAACTTAGTACCCAAAGTTGTCTACAAACTTTCCCAGAACCTCGACGTAAATCTTGGATTTCTATCAGACACAATACTCGATGGAATACCATGCAACTTCACAATCTGCTCGATATATACTTCGGCAAGCTTCTGCAATGAATAATTGATCCTCATCGGTATAAAATGAGCCGATTTGGTCAATCTATCAACAATCACCCAAATCGAGTCATACCCCTTCAAAGTCTTCGGTAAACCTGTCACAAAATCCATAGAAATGCTATCCCATTTCCATTCTGGAATATTCAACAGTTGCATCAGACTCGATGGTCTTTGATGTTCAATCTTCGACTTCCAAAAATTCAAACAAGCATACACAAACTCTGCAATTCCCTTCTTCATACTCGGCCATCAAAACAATTTCTTCAAATCTTGATACATCTTTGTGGAACCAGGATGAATACTTAGCCCGCTTCTGTGACCTTCCGCAAGAATGCTCTTCTTGATTTCTGGCACCTCAGGAACACACGCTCTATCTCTGAACTTCATCACCTCATTCTCATCGATTCGAAAATCACCTTTGTTACCTTGATTGATTAACGTGAAACGATCTGCAAGTCTCAACTCAGATTTTTGACCTTCTCTGATCTCTTGGAGAATACCACTAGTCAACTTCAGCATACCCAACTTCACATTGTTAGGAGTCTCTTCACAAACTAAACTCATATCTCTGAATTGCTCAATCAGTCCTAACTCTCGAACCATATGCATCGACATATGTAAGGACTTCCTGCTTAACGCATCAGCCACAACATTAGCCTTACCAGGATGGTAACTCAATTCAAAATCATAATCCTTCAGAAGTTCAAGCCATATTCTCTTCCTCATGTTCAACTCTTTCTGATCAAACAAATACTTCAGGCTCTTGTGATCGCTGAACACTTCGAACCTAGACCCAAAAAGATAATATCTCCAAATTTTCAACACAAACACCACAACGACCAACTCTAAGTCATGCGTAGGATAATTTCTTTCATGAACCTTCAGTTGTCTGGAAGCATAAGCAACAACCTGACCATTCTGCATTAATATGCCTCCAAGACCCATCTTCAAC